TTCTTCTGCCTGATATCCAGTACCAGCTAATGATTTTATTTTAAAGAGAATAAAAAAAATATTAATTATAGTATATAATATATACAAAAGAACACTGACTTAAGACCACAGTTTTAAAAGCTGATATTTATAAATAATAAAAGAGAGGATTAGATATTAAAAAGTTAAAATAGAAAATAAAATTATTTAGTTCATAAGAATAGAAAGAGTTTAGATTAGAAAGAGCCCAGCAAAGATATTACTAGCTATAATTATATAAATAGCTAATGTATTTATACTTTATACAAGTATAGATAAGCTAATAATTAAAAAAAAAATAATTAAAAATAATAAGAAGAAATAGAAGAAATAAAGATATATCAGTATATAAAGCAGGATTCTTATAATTTAAAGATAGCTATAAATAACAAGCTTACTATAGTACAGCTTCCTAAAATATACTATTAATTATAGGATAAAAATATTTATTTACTCTTTAGACTACCATAGTAATCCTCAGTACTGAAGATCAAAGTATTTAACAGGATTATTCAGAAGAGTACTGGAATCCTGCCTTAAATATAAGTCTGGTATATTTATAACTGTTTAAATTCAGAAAACTGGATAAATATTATATTCTTAATTTATTCCTGTAAACCAGTAACTTAATACATTATATAATCCTGTTATTTTATTTATTTAATTTATATTTTAGATATAGATTAAAATTATAATAATTATTATTAATACTGAACTAAAAATAAAGTATAATTCTTAATTCCCTTATGGAAAAGTAATATTAATATTATATAATATCTTCCATAAGGTTAAAGTTAATTAGAGAATAGTTAAGCAGCTCTTACTTATCTGCAGAGAATATTTAAATATTATCTTGAAGATAAAATAATATCTTTAAATCTACAGTTATCCTGCTAAAGATTAAGAAATAAGATCTTATTAGTCTGCTATATCTAGATATCTGAAAAAGTAGACTACTACTATAGAATAAGACTTTCTGTAAATACTAATTAATTCCAGATTCTTATTATCTAATTAACTTAATAACTAGTTAATAAGGTTTATAATTTCTGCTATTAAAAAAGTAGTTATTCCACTGGGATCATAAGTATTAATCTTATTAACTAGAGTCACCCATTTTGCTAATAAAGTAATATAAAAGTATTTACTATAGCTAAGATAACAGTTAATTAAATATTTTAGTAAATATCTAATAGATATTAAGCATGTTTCCTCAGTATCTTTATTATATACCAGATTTCTTTAGCTATATTATATAATAGATTCTAGTTTCTTTAGTAAATTTTTAAAAATTAATTACTAGTAGGCCAAAACAGCATCTGATTATATATATATAAAGTAAAAATATATTTAGTCTATATTATCAGATAACCCTGTAAAGTAGTGATTAAAAATTACTATATAAGAATTTCTTTATTTTATACTATATAATCTTATAAAATCTTCTGCAGCTTCTCTATATATTTATTTTCCTTATTTTTCAGATATAAATCTTAATATATTAATTATACTTCTAGTCTGTAGTATGTTCAGATTATAATTATATAGATTAGCTAAGAAAGAAATAGTATAGAAGTAATATAAAAATTGTAAAAAAAAAATACTATTCTTAGACAGATAAAAGTAATACTATAATAAATAGAAAGATAACTAATAAAGAGTCTTTAGTAATATATTAATTTAAGCTGATTTTCTATAACTGCCAAGATTATCTTTACATATAATATATATATTCAGAAGGAGTCTAGTCATGATTAACAGATTTAACCTAGATATCTTTCTGTATTATCCCTAGATTCTGTTAATATTAAATAAAATAACTAATACTCTTATTTATATAGTTAAACTAGATTAGTTCTACTATTAAATATCTACTTAAATAAGATATTATATCTGGTACTATAATAAAATTATAATATCTGATAACTACTGAATATACTAATAGAAATAAAGAAAGTTATATATTAAAAATATTATACTCAACTTCTAGTTTATTAAGAGCGGGAAAGTCTTTGAAAGATCTATATTTAGAAATCTTATTTTAAGTAATATTATTCTTACAGTCTTTAATAATAAGTTTCTTTAAACTTTACTTGTGAATAAGAAGTGCTGTATATATATTTTATAAGTTAAGAGAGATAGATATCTGAAAAATTAGATATAATAAAAAATAATAATACTATAAGTTTACTAGATACTTACAGCTTCTGATTATTATATATAAAGATTCTATATTAAGATTATATTTATCTAGTAAAATTTATTTAATTAGAAGATTAGTTGCAGGTAACTACAGTATATTATAATAATATTTTCTTAATAATAACAGAGATAACCATAAAAAAAGATAAATAATTCTTTATATTACAGATCTACTCTCTACACAGTAAAGCTCTTTTAAATATTAGAATAGAAAATTACTCAGCATAAATAAGAAATAGAAATCCCTAGAAATTGCAAGCTGCTGTATATTAGATAGCTGTAATAATAATTAAGACAGAAATTTATATAAATATATAAATTCCTGAGACAGAATTTCCTTAATTCTGTTAAAAGAAACTGACTTTATATATTACCTAGCATTATTTCTGATAATAGTTTCTAGAAATAATTATAATCTTCTCTGAAACCATAATATCTTATATTATACATAGAATAAAGAAATAAGAAAAAATAATAAAATAATATAAAGATATCAAGAAATAAGGCAAGTTAATAGAATTACTGAAAAAGATAGAATTTAGAAGATTATTATTAAGATCTTGAGAGATAAATTATAAAGTCTAGTTATAATAAATTAATTAGATAATTTAGTAGTACAAGAATCATGGCCTGTATAGCCAGAGTCTGGGTGATTTCTTAGTATTTAAGAATATATTTAACCCAGGTTATTGGACTTATAGCCCTGGTACTAATTATAGATAGTACTAGTAGTAGACTAGTAGTTAATCAAGATATCAGGAATTATAGAAAAGTATAATATAGCTACTGGTAGCAATATAACCTGTTATGATTTAGTTTTATAAGTCAAATATTTTTATATATATAAAGTAGATTTTTGTAAGAGTTTCAGGGATATTTTATTATATATTTTTATTACTTTAAATATTATAGATTTATTATAAAGAAATCCAGAAAAATAAATAGTCTATTCCTCTACATAATATCTTATTAAACTAAATAATCTTAGAATGACCCAACCAGAGCTTTACTAATTATATATTAATTATGATAAAAGAGGGAAAAGTATATAAATAATATAAGAGTCTTGAATATTAGATAAGTATAATATTAATATTTATATTTAAAGGCTATAGATATTTCTAGTATATTTCTATAAATATATCTCATGCAGTATAGACAGGTCATAAAAATTATATTTTTAATCTTTTAAATATAATATTTGAAAATGCCTTTTTACTCTATTATAGTTAAAGTATATTTTATAATATTAGAAGTATATGAATATTTACTTTATATTTAGAATTTAGTGTTTACTAGAGTTATATTCCTTCTTTTACAGTATAGTTAACTATATTTTAGTCTTTTTCTTTTGAGCTAGCAGAGATAAAACTATGTTATTATTATTAGACTGTGTAGAATACTTTAATTATTTTTAAAAAAGGCCTTTTTTCTGAAAGCTACAGTAATTTATTCTAGTTATAACAGTTTTATTGCACTGTGTCTACTTATCTTTTAATAAATTAGTAATAGATTAAGTAAAGAATATTTTTATAAAAAGAATCTGTTCTAATGGTATAGTAAACTCCTTCTATAATATCTTATATATAGAATTATTACTGATAGCTCTACTAGTTAGCTGTCTTTCTATATTAATTACTGCCTATTTTTAACTAAAATCATGGTGTATTTTTTTCTGCTATTTATCCTGCAGATATTAGTATATATTATAGATTTAATATTTCTAGTTCTCCAGCATTACCTGCAAGACTGGATTATGAAGTTAGTTACTATACTAAGTTTCTAACTTAGATAACTAATATATAGCTGATTATAGTTCTAGATCTTTTTCCACTAATATCTGATCAAAATTATTTAGATATTATAATTATCTCTGATTAATTTAATAACTTATCTGAGTCACAGTTCTTAAAAACTTCTTATTAGAATTAAGATTATATATAATCTCCTGTAAACTAGTATGTTAATAGAGATAATAATACTTAATAAATATACTGCTAATAGCATGGTTTATGATTATATTATATTATACTTTATTAATAAAATCTGGATAAAATTCTTAGTATGCCCGCTATATAAAGAAGAATCTTAGTATTTATAGTTTATCTATTACTTTTATTAAGTAAATCTCCTCCTCTATATTAGAACTGGTAAGAGAAAAAATAATTAAGAAAGCTGTATATCTTATTAAACATCCTGAGCTGTATATTAAATATACTTCTATTTATAAGTATTTTCTATAAAATACAGGACTGATTATTAATTATTTAGACTCTTGGAAAGATATAATAATTATTTATATTTTTTTTTAGAGGAAATAGTATTTCCTGTCAGCTACTCTTAATAAGTAATATCTGTAGATCTTCTATTAAAATTAAGTAAAATACTTTAAACACTTAAACATAAAATAATATAATTAGAAATAAGATATATAGACTGAAGACAAGTAATATATTATAAATAATTTTAAATAGCATGAATATATTGCTAAGTAATTAATTAATCTAAATATAACAGATAAGCCATGAGATATATAACTAGCTGTATATAATATTAGATATTATCTATAGCTTTAATATATTTAGAATACTTTTTATAAACTTAGGCTGAAATTTAATTATTAATACCAGAGGTCTCCCGTGCAGATCCTGCTAGAGTAATAATTATAAATACTTAAATTAAAGATTAAGAATTATATGTTTCTAGTTAATAGTAAATAGTTCTATAATATTATATAGATATAAAATAATCTACTAGAATCCTAAGTAGAATTATTTTTCTTAAATTAAAAGAATTATCTTATTAAATAGGACTATATCTTTAATATATACAGGAATATTTACCTGCGGTTGTTTATTAAGATTATATTTATTAATTAAATATCTTATATCTTGTCTATTTTTGTCAGAGTAAGCCTTAGCTAAAAGATAGAAAAATAAACTGTATAAACTACTTCTTCTATCTCTTTACTTATTTTATGCTTAGTAATCTGTGTGTAATAAATTTAAAAGTATTTCTAATCTATATCAAGAATACTGGTCTTTTTATAATTTTTTTAACAGTAATTATCAGGATTATACTCCAACTTTAAATACTAATTCAGAAATTAATATATATTATTTAAAGATATTTTATATAATATATTTTCTATATTTTCTTACTTTAGATTACCGGACAGCTTTCTTACTTTAACTTAACAGAATCTGAGATAAGGCATATCAGTTAATTAAAAATAATTTATTATAAGTTTTTATTAATATTCTGATCATTTACTAAATCTAATACTTTTTTAATTAATATTTTAACTTCTTCATGTTATTAGACTAGCTATAATCTTCTAGTATCTAGGCCAGGTTCTTATCTGTATTATTATCTAGGACTTAATATTAGATCTAGTAGATATATTCTATATCTAGTAAGTCTACTTCTGATAATTATATTCTAGTACTTTAATTTAACTTTTTCTAATTAATTTTTTAAGCTGCTGAAGATAAATACTCCAGTTTAGTAAGATTAATTCCAGAGAAGTCAGACTTGAATAGTTTATTATTATCAATATTAATAGAAAAGATATAAGAGGATTTGCTTGTAACTCTATAGTTACTAATATTAGATTTTCTCTGGTAATATATGACTAGAAGTTTTTATTTATTATATAAAGAAATTACTACACAGCTTAAGATATTTTAATACCTGCCTAAATAGAAGGTAATATAAGGAAAGACTAGAGAGAAAACTCTAAAGCAGTAATTATATTAAAATAAGAATAATATTAGATAAAAAATAATTAACAGGAAGATATTTATAATTATAACAGCTGAATACTAGCTAGAATACAGCTAATAAAATACTTAAAAATATTATTTTCAGCAGCCCCTCCCCTTCTAGGGAACTAGAGAGGAAATAATAAAAATAAGTTCTTAAGTAATTAAGAATATAAGCATATATAAAATAGCAGCCTGAGGCAGGAACAGTGAATAAATAATATATAGTTAAAATAGACAGAAGCATGGCGGAGGGATATTACTGAAAGACAGCCATTTTTGGCATCACATGCCGCCGAAAAAGGCAGCGGAATAGCAAACCACAATTCTTATCTAGTAGAACTGTATTAAGAATCTTTATATAATTTTGATTTTTTGCATGTTATATAAGGATAATATACTTAATAATTATTTCTAGTCTATGTAATTAAGTTCTTAACTAAAAAGTTGTCCAGATTCTTGTGAGATTTGATTTATTTTATATATATTAATAATAATCCTCCTGAAATAGTTTTATAATATTATTATAAAGTATGATTCCAGAGTATATTATAAATCAAGTATTTCTGGCTTTTTTAATATGATTAACCACTCTTCTAATAGGCTTTTGAGTTAGTGACTTATCTGGGAATTATATCAGGTATAGATATATTTTTTATACTTATTATTAGAATTTATATAAGTTAAGTTTCTACATATCTTATATACATAGATTACTGTTTTTTTCTGAGATAGTCTTGGCTTCTTCCTTTATAACTTTTTCTTAAAACTTATTAATAATTAATTATTTTCTTCCAAAGTATAAAAGTTCTTAAAAAAAGATTTATGGTGTCGGTACTGAGTAAGACAGTTTTATATTTATTTTCTTAGAATAGAATTAGATATCTTTTTCTAGTCTTTCTCTATCTTTATTTTATTGTCTGAGAAATGCTTGATTCTATGTTAACTTATATTATTACTGGATATAGTAATAAAAAATATATTATATTTAATTAAGCATTTATCTGTAATATTCTCTAGAGGCTAATTCTCTAGAATACTGCACAGAAGCAGACTGGGAATGATAATCTATATATATATATAAATTATGTCTGTTTATAAGATTATAAGTTAGTCTTATATTCTAAACCATTAAATTTAATAATAAAAGAGAAATTCAGTGTAGAGTGGCGGTGGTCCTTATTATAAAATAAAATTATAAAAGATTATTAATAATATAAAATACTAGAATTTCTAGTTAGCAGGCGCGCGGTTATAAGGTCTCTGTATTCTAGACTTTTAAGATAATATATATAGCAGAGTTTTGTTTATTTTTTTATATAACTGATTTTTTATAATTGGATATTTTTAGAGATTTAGGTCTAAGCTCTTCTTATATTTTAGTAGATATTGTCACTATAAGGTCACTGAAACTGTATATAGAAAGAAAATGATTTCTATATTACTATACTATAATCTGATTAACTAATAATAGTGATCAGTAGCCTTGAGTAAGATATAGCAGTAATAGATTATAAATAGTAATACTTACTGTATATATTAATTCTCTCTCTTAGGATTTACTAAGTTCTATAGACACCTGAAATATTCTATTATAAAATCTTTGTTAATATCTATCTGTCTCCACCCATAGCCTGTCAAAGTCCAAATACTGCATTTGTACCTTTTCCCCCTTGCAAAAAAAAAAAAAAAAAAAAAAAATTGGATAGATAGAATAATAAACTTCAAGTAGATGGCCAAGGGTATGCACATGTCAGGATTCTATTTATGTTTTTAATAAAGTTATCTGCTCCAGTTAGCATCCTATTAAATCCCAGACTTAGGATATGCATACTCATGAAAATGGGCTGGTATGTTTTCCTAGTAAATAAGTAGTTATTATATTCTATAATATCTGAGTTCTAGAACTTGTATCCTGATAATAATCTGTTTATATCAGTAATTACTTATATATTTATAAACTGACTTATATATTATACCAGCCTTTAAGTATAATATTACAGGATTTGATGGGTAATTTACTTATATTCTAGACTTTATTCTTAAAGTTATAACAGATTACAGACAATATTCCCGAGGTATTAAGATCAGGATTTTAATAACTGGTATTGAATAATCTGCAGGTAAATAAGCTAATAATTGTATAAGATAATATCTAAAGATATAGAGCTATTACTATAGTTTAATCTTTTATTTGAGATAAGATAAATTACTATTAATTCAGTATGAGTAAGGTCAAAGAATCAAAGATTGGTGTGTAAATATTAATGAGGGTTAGGAGGTATTTAATATATATATAATATATAATAAGATGCCGAGGATTATGAAATATAAAAAAATAATATAAGTTAATTAATAGCTAGATAATACTACTTGATATAGTCTGATATTATTTTTGATAAGTGCTTAACTTATGATTAAATAAGTATATAATCTGGATTAATATATTTTATTTACTAAAGTTAATATTTTATAACTGCTTATAATACCGACCTTTATTTATATACAGTAGTAAGATTTTGATCTATAATTATATCTATCTAACTAAAGAAGTTAATTTACAGGGTTTATTTTCTAGAATGTAGTTATACTCTTCTGCTGGAATATAAATAATATTTATAGTAGTTAGAATCTTAGCTTTATATATAGTTTGCTTTATATATTAAGTTTATTATTTCTTATACTTTTATCTGAAATATAATTAGTAATCTGCTTTCTGTTCTTTAAAGGTATATTATATATATTATTATAAAGAAGTCTTAATTTTATTAATTAAAAGAAAGTTATGTTCTGGAATAATTATTTAACAGTACTGTAGATACAGGTCAGTTATCTTATATCTAATTTAATCTAACCTATTCTACTAAGTGTTTGAAAAGGGAAGATATTTAATAATCAAGTTTTACTATCTGTATATATTCTTGAGAAAGTAAAGTTATAAGTAAATAAGCTTATATAGTTTTAGTATTGCAAATATAAACAGCCTTTTATTCCAGTTATAAATAAAATTATTCTAGATAAAACTGTTTTAATAAGCCTGGCAGCGCGATAATATCTTTATATAGATATTAATAAAAAAACTTATTTAATAAGAAAGTCTATTCTACTGGTATAATAGATATCTATTTTTAGTAATTATTTATTAATCTTATACCACCAGCATAGGCAGATGAGATTTACTTGTGTTTAATGAATATTATAGAAAATCTTAGTAATTATTTATTTTATGACTTTGTTAATCTGTATTTTATTTATTATACTAGATTAATTAATATTTATAATCATATCTTTATCTTTTTAAATATATATAATGTCGAGTTTAAAGTTCTTTTAATAAAATCTTTAGAATATGGGTTTGTTATATAGAAGATAAATATTATATTCTCAGGACTGTGATTATATTATAATCTTGATATATTAAAGAGCCTGTCAGATTATATATAAGAACTATAAAAAGAGCTTGATTATATATATTTATTAAATTATACTAGTTTAATTGCTAGAATCTTCTTTCAATTTAAAAGATTTATTAATTAATTAGAAGTATTAAATCTTCTTCTAATATATTGAATATATAATATTTTATATATTATAAAGTCTTCTTTATTGGACGCTTTACTTAAAATTACTTATTACAGTGGTATTTTATCTTTGTTAGATAACTATATTAATTAATTAAGAATCTTAGATTTACAAGTAAAATAAAATTAGTTTCTGATAAATAATATAGATAGAATAAACAGTATAAAACTTGTTTAATTTAGTAAATAAGCCTGTATTATTTCCAGTCAGTTAATTGCTTTAAAAAATAGATATATAATAATATAACTTGAGGAAAAGAGGATTTTAATTTTTTTTTAATTCTTGAAAACTAGAACTTACATGGTTTATTTATATATTATAAAAATATAATTACTGTCTTTATAGCTTATATTTATAATATAAACAAAACTTGATACTATCCTGTATAATATATTAAATAATTATCTTAGTCTTAGACTAGGATATCAGCTTATTTTAAATTTATTTAATTTAATATAAAGTACTTTAATCTCCTTCTCCTGCTTACTTAATTTTATATCTTTATATTATTAATTTTAAAGATTATTAAGAAAATTTTTAAACATAGCTGTACCAGTATTATCTGGTATTACTTAATTATTAAACTATAATAAAAACTTATCTGCCTGTTATTTTAACTTAATTATCTATAATATTATAGACTGAGAGGATCCTG